CGCGTACAACCCGAAGTGTTAGTTGTACATCAACAGACAGTGCCAAAAGGCATAAGCACGTGATAACTCATAAGACGGGTTTGCCGTTCCGGCGGAAACCATCCAGTCATCAATGCCGATGTTCGTTGGTAGTCACCAAGTGAACAAACGATGGCTATCAGGTGAGGGTGGGGGGAGGGATAAAAAACATGACAAACGCATGGCCACGTACAACACGAACGTACCCATTTTGACCCAACAGAATTACGTGCATCAGACYCCTTCACTAACGCTCAGCTCGTAAATGTTTAACCAGTTGAAAATCGAGAAAAAAACCATTTCACAGGTTTTGCTAACGATAAAAAAACCCACACGTGGCATTAGTAAGGGGCGGTTTTGATGGAAGGGGGGAAATTCGGAGGAAACAAAATTCGGTCTAGAGAAATCGGTCGCGTATGGTTAGCGGCCACGTTTGACGTATACACAAAAAAAAGCTCACCGTCCGCCATGTTTTGAAAGTTGACATAGGCGTATCCCAGTGATCTTCTGGTGATCATGTCACGACACACGCGGATGGACAGGACAGCACCGACCGTGCTGAATTTCTCAAACAGCATAGCTTCGGTCACGTCCGAATGCAGGTCTCCAACGTACAGCGAAGCCATTTCGTTGTTTTGGTTGCTGCGTCAAATTAAGCTTCGATGAAGTGAAAATAATAACTACGGCAAAATGTGCGCGATATACTTTTTCTTTCGGATTTTGCACGTAGACAAAATTATAATAATTTTTTTTATGTTTTATGTAATTTTTCCTTTTTTTTTTAGTTAATTTAGTTTATTTTATAATTTTTTTGGGGTTTTTTAATTTATTTGAATTAAAAAACTACACTATTCCTCATGGGTTGTGTTTCGTAGACGCGTACGACACAACCTCATGTATTGAAAAGAAAAATTGGAGAAAAAAACGAACGCACTGAGCTAACTCTACGAGATGACGCTTAGGTTTCCCGTTGACGACCCCCTCCAAACAGACGGACGAAGTTATGCGCATGCGTGCTGGTTCAGCGACCATCTGACGTAACTTCGACCAAGGTTACATTTGTCAGGCTTGCCTCCCTAACGACAAAAAATATTCGAAATCCAAATTAATTCCCACCAAAACTATGTTAAAATTTTTCATTTGTTGACTGTCATTATGAAAAATTAAATTTGTTATAAATTTATAATTGTTGTTACTTGTCATGCCATCGCAATGGAAATAATTGAAGATGTAAGCATAAACTGTATTTCAATCTGTTAAAATCTGATGAAAAATAATTCTTTATCCATCCGTTTCATCTATAAAATACTATGAGTTTGAAATACCATTACATTTATTATAAGCCAATTATTATTAGAAAAATCGATAATAACATTAAATTTTTTTGTATTACAATGATTATTACATAGAATTTCAATTATCGTAATGATGGATATTTTTKAAACTTTTAGTACTTAATATATTAAATATGTTAAAGCATTAGATATTAAGTTGTTGTCTATAAACTCCAAAATCCAAATAGCTAGATTTTTAACCTATTTTAAAACAAACTCTGAATAATCATGTTAACCTTATTTAAAGTTTATTTTATCAGAAGTAGTGTATGAAGGTAATAATGATAATAGAGTATTGCACTCAAAACAACCTAATATTCGAAATTTTATAAAATAAACGTGTGATTAATATTATTCGTTCCACAATTAGGTAAGTATTAAACTTGAAATATTACAGTTGCCCTAAACAAATAAATTAATACAAATCCAAGGAAAGACACCGTTATTAAACTAATGAATTTTCGTTAAGTTATTTTTTTTAAATTTTTACAGTAATTAAATACAAATACATTTAAAAGTATACATAAAAAGTAATCTAGCATTTCAGGTACTTCACAAAATATCAAATTTAATTCCAGCTTTGTTTTTATAATTTATTTAGTCTTAGGCATTCTTTGTTAGCGCTTGACTATAATTTCCGTAATCATTTAACCCATATCTCATATCTAATTTAAAGACACAATTTTTCAGAAATTATTAAGACGATTAGAGCATTTTGAAATATTTGAATTTAAATGAATTATTAGGTAGTTATAATGTCTACTTCAAAATTCAAGATTGTGTTACAAAATAAGTGATAAGTTTAATTTTACAAGTAAACAACAAACAATTTAATATTGAACAAAAAGGATTAAAAAAATAACGCTTTACTTATATTTTGTCAATAAATGAAGAAAATAACAATTCCCAATCACTTAAATACTTAATAGTATTAATTATCTCACAAAAATAAGAAAATACTATTTCTCAACAGTCAACCACTAGTTTCTTATATCAAGCTCCTTATTTGTTTGTAGGTAACTGGAACAGCACTCAAAATACACAAATACCTACATATTATATACTAAACAATGGTCAGTGTTTAACATCTCTACAATATMGWTAGGTACGTAAAATGTACGTTTAATAAGTTTATTAAAATTATAAAAGTATAAATATTTGTATTTTATATTCATTTTATCTAAATAACGATTAGGTCAAATATTTATATTTTAGTTTTACATATTTTTTTAATGTTTGTTGGAAAAAGTACTAAGGTATACTGAAATGTGTTTTGTGACCCAATATACATTGTTTTTATATACATTTTAATTTAG